GGAAGATATAGACAATGAAGGGAAGGAGTGATTCTTGTTTGAAAAATAACATGTGACTCAATTGAGGAATGCAGAAAATTTCCCATCATGCACCCTGACCTTAAGGACAAGGAATAATTGTTTTCTGATATAACATGAGCTTTCAATAAAAAGCATTTTTGGCACGGACATCTAATACGTTCTTCGAATTGCCCTGGAACTATATTTATACCAGGACTGGCATCCAGATCCAAGTATTTTTTAAGACCGCCGACTCTCGTTGGGCTATTTATCCCTATTGACTCAGTTGTTCATATAAATTTACGTACCTTAGATGCTTTGTAATCGACGTAGATAGAAAATATTGTTTCCTAAATTGTTCTGGAAAGCGATAATTATAACTAAATGTACTTTGAACAGGTCGACTAACAAAAAAGCCGGGCTTCTGGCACGTCTCGTTCTCGCTCTCAAACAAAACGTGAAGAACGTGACGTCACTTCCGAATCATAGCATTCAAAATAAGTAGCGTTTAAATCCCAATACCATATGTAACATATCGGTGGTCTAGGGGGAGAATCTTCGCTTAGCACGCTGGAGGCCCGGGTTCGAATCCCGTACTCGCTCTTTTGTTTTTTTTCGAGGTCGTTATCTTCATCGTCTAGTTTACGAATACCAAATGTCGATGTGATGTTTTAATTGATAAATACGAATTCCTTACACATTTCGTTATCTTATTGTGAAATAGCAAACTAAGAGATATCTTTACTCGCTAGGAATTAACATAATATTATTTGAAGCGATTTTAGAAAATTTTGAAACCGCCATCTTGGTAATATTGATGACGTGATCACCATCGGTCAAGGTCAGGTCAAAAGTCATCCATCTTGCCATTAGCCCCGCGGATTGTTACCAGTCGACAAAAAACGATGAAATCACGTTAAAAATAAAATATACACTTTAGAATTGAGGCTGATCGAATATGACAAGACTCCATTGAATACAGCTGTGCAATTTACAGTCACCAAGATGAGCTAATTTCGGAGAGATTCGGGAATTAAAAAAGGTAAGCACTTCCGGTTTCCCAACTTAAAAGTATTTGAAGTCCCAGAATTTCGCCAGAAACATTCTCTCTGACTGTGATTTTTGGAAGTTTCAGAGGAATCTTATCAAAAAAATGTTTTGGGCAGTTTCAGAGCGTTCGCACCCAACGCACCCCACTTTCTGAAGCCCATGTACAAGCCCCTGAGGATCGGGACGGTTTAGGACTAAACTTAGATCAGAGACATATAAAACATGTCTCTGCTTAGATGGCAGTTTCACGGCCGAAAACTTTGGCCCAGGTTCTAAAAATGTTTCCATGTGAGAACTGAAAACCCTCGTCACGTATATATTTGTAAATTGTGCAAAATATACTTACCCATTCTGCTATATCTTGATCAAATTATCTTCGAGAACAGCTAAGGAATTCCCTTGAAAGAATCATGGAAATGTGGAAACCGCTCGTCAAAGTTCTCCTCGTGCTCGTCTAGTCTACCGGATTACGCTCATTTGAGGGCGCTGTTGTTTTGGCGCGAAATTTGAAAGTCAATCGTTTGCGAATGCATTGCAATGTGGACCGGTTCTTCACAGATGGTAGAATTTTTATAGAAAATACATAACAGTTTTAGGAGGAATTTTCTATAAAAAATTCTGCCATCTGTGTGGTTCTCAGTCTGGATCATGTAGTGGGGTTCTCAAACTTGATCATGAGGTTCTCAAACTTGATCATGTAATGAGGTTCTCAAACTGAATCATGATATGGAGCCTATGGAGTTCCAAACCTGGGTCTTGTAATGGGGTTCTAAAATCGGATCATGTAATGAGGTTCTCAAACTATGTAGAGGAGTTCTCAAACTGGATCAAGTAATGAGGTCCTCAAACTGGATCATGAAATGGAGTTCCCAACCTGGGTCATGTAATGAGGTTCTAATATCGGATCATGTAATGAGGTTCTCAAACCGGATCATGTAATAGAGATCATGAAATGAGGTTCTCAAACTTGATCATAGAATGGGTTCTCAACCTAGATCATGTAATGAGGGTTCTTAATTGGATCTTGAATGGGGTTCTCAAACAGGATCATGTAATGGGGTTCTCAAACCGGATCATGTTATAGAGATCATGAAATGAGGTTCTCAAACTGGATCATGAAATGGAGTTCTCAATTTGGATCATGAAATTGGGTTTTCACCCTGGATCATGTATTGGGGTTCTCAAACATGGGTTTTCAAACTGGATCATGAAATGATCGATCTCGGATCATGTAATGGGGTTTTCAAACTTGATCATGTAGTGGGATTTGAAGTGGTTACCTTGGCCTGAGATGGTCTATATACTGTAGAAAGATATATGGCATCCCATAAGTTACTCTAATGCTGTTATGTGAAGGAAACTTGTAAATCTATCTGTCCTCAAACCAGTTGGGTCAAAATAAAAAGAAGATCAAGAACAATCTGTTGATGACATTATGAGGGCATACAAAGATATGTCAAGCACAAAATGATAGAAGACCGAGAGTAGAAGATTCTGAAGAACTTCATTTCATTTGAGTTATTATACTGAGGCACCATAAGGAATATGTGTGATAGGATAATTTAACTTGATATCTGAAAGAATTTCCCGTATTAATCTGACGGGAACTGGTATCTTTATCCAGGCTAAGACCATGGGCAGTTCGAGCCAACGCCATCTTTAAATCAAGTCAGCAGCACTCTAGTTATCACCCCTCTGGTGTACTAGTTAACATTAGCTAGCACGTTTTGCCACATGCTGGGATTGAACCCAGGACCTTTTTTTTTGGCATTAGAAGTCCAGCATGCTAACCTTTACATCACAGAGGCAAAGATTGATTGATCTATAAATTCAAATAGCGGCAGGGAATCTGGACTGAAGGCTTCGTTACATGAACTAAAATTGTACATGTACTAGCAATCAGCGTAAATGACAACAATATGTTATATTTATTAAGGTATTTATTCACATATAGGATCATACAACATGTTTGGAGAATTTGATTATTTAGAACTTCAATCAGGGCTTGACCATTAAACCTTAGCAGGAGACTTAACTTATATGTAAATATATTTGGTCTGAATATTTTGTGATTCAGTCAAATACAAAATGTCTCTCCAAAACACACGTGGTAAAAAATTAAAGAAATATTCTTGTTGAAGTTTTACTGAAAAATATTCTGATAAAATTTAAAGGATCAAATTTCTCCCTTAGAAAGTTCTTCCCCTAATTTTGTACAAAGTCATACTCTTATGCACAAAAAAATGGAGAACAACTTCATGTATCCACTAGTAAATGCTCTCTGTTTTAGAAATATTAGAACTTATTAAAAATTAAGATTTTCTGTATATAACACACCTATAGTGTATTCACTCATGGAATCAAGGCCATAATTTACCAGTGTATATCCCAATGATATACTACTCACTTCAAATAAAGGAATTTCTGCATTTGGGGATATGAAAATCACATAGGTATGATACATATTGGTTATTACATGGTCAGAACAATATATTGCTCTGATGATAAAGCAATAACCTCACAATTACAGTCTGTTATAGATGTCACCAGTATTATACTTACTTTACGATATTACTCTCTTGATTGTGAATGAAGAGATCAATTTTCTTGCATTTTTGTACAATTTAGAGTACAGCCCATTTTCTTTGTTTGTATAATTAAACATTTTTTCTGTATATTTGTATTTTAAAATTTGACCAGTGACATCTATATACAGATTAAGTGTTCAGACTAGATCATTATGAAATGCATAATGTATATTATCTTACTACTCCACATTGCTGACTATATATATCTATGATAATAGAAAGTACAAAATGAATTCACATATTGTAGTAAACCAGGATAATATTTCAAGACTATTGAACAGAAAAAATGAGTTTATTGATTGAGATACATGTAAAAGAAAGTACTTTTAATTAGTGTTCAGAAAAGTCAACCACTAAGAGGTTTTCACATAACAACCATATCTTGCATAATGAGGGAAAACAAGGTCATTTAGGCCTTAAATAAAACTATTCGTAACTACCTCTCAAGAGGTAACAATATCTGTTGCTTTAATATATCTTTACATAGTACACAGTACTACAACATTAAGTCAGCGCATGAAAAACATTGACTATCACATCAAGCCAAAATGTTCATTAAAACGTGTCACTTTTAGCATTATAACATGTCACTATGATCACTGTATGTCACAGTAATCATTGTAACATGTCACAATTATCATAGTAACATGTCACCATGACCACCATAATATGTTGCAATCATCATTACAATGTCATTATGATCGCAATAATGAGTCATTGTGATAATAATCACATGTCATGATGAACATTGCAATATGTCACAACCATAAAATGTTGATTTACAAGTCAAAAATGTCACAAAGACAACATATTGATGATTATAACATGTTAGGGATCAGGCCCGTAGCCAGTTTTTGCCAAGGAGGTTCACTTTTCAAATATTCCAGGGGGTTTGAAAACATTGGCCTAAAATCACTTGAAAATTGCTCAGAATGGTTAAAAACTGCATGATTTTAAATGAATTTTTGGCTAAGGGGTTCACTCCAACCCCCCGAACCTCTCCTGGCTACAGGCCTGGGAATGGTGCCCAATGGTCAACAGTTGTGTAAAACCAAATAAAGTTCATTACGATTCAAACCCCTCCTTCCCTCTATGTTAAAACTAGAAAATGTTGACATGCATTTCACTTAGACTTTTCAAATACTACATTTTTACCAATGTTATAGTCATGTTCCCACTCCCTTTAAGTGATTCATAATCTCTGTTCTTCCACAGATGTTGACAAGTGGACACCATCTCTTAAAATGGTGTATATTTGATCATTGATCATCTTTGCGATCCTCTAATGTTATTCTGCATTCAATATGCCATTCTCCTCATGCTCATTCCCCGCCATTTTTCTCTAAAATTTAAAGTGATCATCCAACTTGTATTTCTACACAATTTGACAACATTTCTGTTATCTTTCCTTGTAGATTTTATATTATAACATTTATATTGCATACGAAACGTAACCACCGAGAAATATCATTCTTGATATGTCCATATAAATCCATCTTTCTTGACACTTTAACCATATATATTTTTGTTACAATAAATAGCGCCTATATCGTTGATTTTTGCTCATCCTCTATCTGGTGTAATATACTCTATAATATAATGTTTTCCCACGCCATAAAGAGTATGAATTGTCAAACTTGAGCAAATATACTCCTCGACCCGGGTACATGTGACTTCCACAATACACTTCTTCATGACAGTCACGTCTATATATGGGAATAATTTCATCTGTCGGGGGTTTATTATCCTGCTTGGAATTCGAACCAGATTCTAAGTCTCCTTTTTTCTTCGTTTCTGAAATGAAAAATAAATTGGATAATCAGACTAAGTTAGGAATACAAGGGAAAAAAATTAATTGTGAACCCCAATAAACCATCTAAACCACTGAAACCAGTTAGAAGAGATTAGACAGTACACTGAAAACTAATTTAGTTCAATAAATCCAAAAGTGGATGCCAAATCAAACCTGCATAATTTTTTTTAAGTAATATTCACTAGTTGTTGCATCATGTACAATGAAACCTGTATATATGAACACCTCTTTAATCTGAAACCTCTCAATAAGAACACTCTTTCTCGGTCATTTTTCTTTATCTCCCATAGAGTCACATATTAAGAAAACCTTGAAATATGAACATCTGGTAATCCTGTCCCAGTAGTGTTCAGACTAAACAGGTTTTACAGTACTTAAAAAAGACGCATCTGAACTCTCCAAATTTTTAGAGTCATAAATCGTAATTTGTGAAAATGATTTTATAGCCCTGTTCAGAAACATAATATTGTTTCTAACATTTTAAGTGTTTTATAACAAACCTTCATCTTCTACATCTTCTTCATCACTGCTCTCACTGACATGTACGCTGACCTGGTTGCTAGGCGACACTGTCCATTCGAAATACACACCAAAGCCAATATCGTAGCTATCTGTGGCGAACTCCCAGAAAAGGCATGTGCCATCTTCATGAGTTGGGACCCTCACCTAGAAATATTGAAAATCATTAAATACTGTCATTTTAACAATTTATAAACCAATGAACTCCCAACATTACAGCAACAGGGTTTCACATTGTTTAAAATATGAAATAACATGTCACCCTGGTCAGCGTTTGATTATGTTATCATTTATTGCGCAGCTCTGCAAGTCTATAATTGTGAAATTGTAGTCTATATGTAAAAATGATGACGTAATCAAAAACTTCATAAGTTATACGTTAAATGGGAATAATAAACATTCTATAAGTGAGTTCCAAAATTTCTCTATTTACTTTTAAAAGTGGGTATAATGTGACAAATGACATACTAGTAATATACACAATAAGAGAGATAATACAGTGATCTGAAAATGATGCTCTTAGTTTGTTTGCTCAATTAAAGCATACATCATCCAGCTGGTAAAAATAACCATTCTGATGGAATCTAATATTTTCAAATGGCATTTTAAGTAGCCTTGGGTAGTTTTATTGAGTATTTAATTCTTTTGCTCTGTAAATCAGGAAATAAAAAATGTTGACTTTCTTGCTCTTAATGATCATCTTATTACTGGTTTCACTGAATTGGTCAATCGACTGCAGAATAACAATGATTTACACTGAGGGTGAACTGCCATGCAAAACAAAATAAACAACAATGAACTCAATCATGACATTGTTAAGGGTGAATTATTTTTACAGTCAAGCAAACAAGCAGAAATCATGCATAAATTTTAAAATTTTAAAAGCATGCAAGTGTTCATTAGCTCCTACAGATAAAGAGATAATTCTATGCTTAAAAATTTTTTTGTCATTTTCTTACTATTCATTTACTGTACTCCCAATAGTATTTGACGCATTATATTTCGCGTTTTTTGGCATTTTGAAATTTCGCTAATTTTCAGTTTTTTAAAATTTTGAGGCTATTAATTTTTGCAGATTTGTCATACAAGATCACTCTTTCATCTTTGATATCAGCCATGGTGGTTAGAATGTTCATTTTAATACAGTAATAATAATAATAACGTTTTTACCTATTATCACCCGGCACTAGATGAAAATATTGTCAACATTTAAATCTCCGGGAATTTCCTTGAAAAAGCACGAATTACAGTAGCGCATGAAATTTACTGGAAGTACAGTAGTTTTTCTCCTGGACAACAAAAACAGTCACCCAATCATAATGATCAGAAACTGCAAGAGTTTCCTTGTTGGATGATTGGGATGATGCCACATAGCACAACAGTTTAAACTATGAAATAAAAACATCAGCCAGTGTAGTCAGTAGTATGTTTATTTATACGATACAATAACTAAAACATGCACTTGTGATGTCAAGAAAATAAAATAAATTCAAAAGAATAATACAAAAAGCATCTTACAACTAAATCTTGACAGCAGCATCATGCTAAGCTAAATTCTAATAGCACTTTGTGAAATTGTGTTAGAACGCCACTAATGTTAATGCATCAGTCACATTTGATCTACGGCACTGTACGGAAACCATAGCTTCTCAAAATCGACAGAAATATCCAGAATAAAATACAGGAATAAGCAGTATGATGTAGATTATCTATATCGATATTTTGAAGCTACAGCCACTGTACAGCCGCCTTATACCAAATGTGACTGAGGCTTAACTTTTATTTCCCAAATAAATAACATGCTCCGGGGTTGTCCTCTCTATGCATACTTATATCCCTCATTTCATACAACAAAAGTTATCAATTTTTCAAAACTTAACTACTATGTTTTGTGTCCAGTCATTGACAGACGATTTTGCCTCATTTAAAAACGCAGAATATATATTATTTTTTTGAGGTCATCATGGTTCTAAGCATCAATCAGGTTGTTTTTTGATATTCTTAACCTGAATAAACTGACTGAATTCTTCACATTTCCATTTACTTCCTTTTTTCTCTCTTTCCCAGAAATTCCACTTTTTTAGAATAGAAAACATGACCCTGAGTTGCCATTTTCTTATGAGTATTTGATAGTGGATACTCACAGTGACTGTTTCGCCAGAGCCCACTTTTATAACAGAATCCTTATCTTTTTGGAGATTATTCTTGAATTCACTAAGATCTTTTCGCGTCCACATTGAGGCTGCAGCGATTGGAGGCATACCGTCTACAACAATAACACAATACCACAATGAGGCCGAGTAGTACAAAACCTTTCACCTCTGTAGGAGAGGATAGAAGCGAGAGCATAATGCAAGGAGAGTGAGACAAGAAGAGAGAAAGCTTACCAGGTGAGTGATAAGAAGCTGATTGCACATCCTCCAAATACAGGTCTTTAGAACAGACACACACATTTGTTCTGCAGCAGAGTAAGAGGGTCAATTTTGCAGATTTGAACAAACAAAGCTAATTGATTTCATCATTTAGATTGCAAAGAAGACAGATATATGACGAATAACACAGTAATGTTCTTTAAGAATTTCTGATGACATTCGAGACAGAAGAGCGCAATAGTTTATTTTCCACCGGGTAAACTTTGTCTCACTCTCGGAAGAAATACAAAAAGAAAGAAATAATGAAAGGAAAAAAGGGTACATAGATACAACATGCAAGTATGACATCACAATGAAGTGCATTGTGACATCACAAACATAGTGCTCAATACATCACGGTGATGAAGGCTTACCGTGGCAGTAGCCAATGAACCTATCTTTATGCAAGCTTCCATGGCATTATCCTTATGTATTCGATCTTTAAAGGCCTGCACATCTTTACGGGTCCACATTGAGGCCGGAACCAGGGGGAGAAGTCTGGGAGGATCTTCAGGTGGGACGCTCCCAGCTATGAGGTTTAAAGTCCAATGAGGTTCATTTATATACTTCAGTTCAGAACACTTAAAAGAGTTTGAAGAGCAACCTTGCAAGCACCTCCGGAATTTCTTACTCAATTAATAAAATAAAATTATGAATCCAATTTTAAAGTGTTCACTGACGAAACTTTAAGGCAATTGTTATTCTTTCCTAAAGGTAAACATAAACTATGACAAGATGAGATAATTGGTGTCATAAAATCCTGTTAAGATATATTCATCTACAATGATACGAAGTAGAAGTCTATTTTTGACACGATGTTGTCATGTGATTGGTTGATTACTGATTTGTATTTTACTTTATTCATCACTTACTTTCACTAAGTTCCTCTTCATCTTCCTCATCATCAGCCTCCTCACCATCATTTACTCCATTCTCATCAGTTGTCTTAGGAGCCTTCTTCTTTACAGCATTTTCTGTGTTCAATGCTGAGTCACCTCCCTCTTGCATTGCCTGCACATGAGAAAAGCATTTTAGGGCCAGGGTCGTGTTTTGAAACGAAAAATTGATAACAGCAAAGCCAAAGTGTAGCAAATCCCTTCAACAGCCATGGCTGCCATTTTTACAAGATTCTCCACTACCTTTTCAGTTATAGGGATCGTAAAATAACATCTATAAAAATGGCCTCCATTTTTCAAAATGGCTGCCAACTAGCTCAATTGTCATAAGAAAGTAATGCTTCTAAGTAGGAAATAGGCGCATATAAAATTTCAACAAAATTCCTCCACTACTTTTTCAGCTAAAGAAAAAATCGTAAAGTAACACACATAAAACTAACCACCATAGTCATAGGAAGTAATATGCTTCTAAGTAGGAAGTAGGCACATATAAAATTTCAACAAAATCGCTCCACTACTTTTTGAATTATAGTAAAAAACGTAAAATAACACATAAAAAATGACAGCCATTTTTTCAAAATAAGTTATTGATGGTCGTGATGGAATATGAATTTTTTCCCTGAGAAAATGTGGTATTGGCTCGAAAATATGATAGAAACCTCAGTCAATATGAATTTTTTCATTTTCCCTCAGAATAACATTCATATTCATATTTTATTCCATAATACTACTGTTTTCCCAGGGAAATATGAAGGAATAAAAATTGTATTGAATCGTATTACATGAAAAAATCGTATTGTCCCCGGGAAAAAAAATCGTATTAGAGCGTATTACATGAAAAAATCGTATTGTCCCCGGGAAAAAAATCGTATCGGAGCATATTAACCTATTTTCGGTTTCCCGGTTATTTTTTCCCGTTTTTTGCATTATCCAAATGTAGCATTTTAGAGGGGTGTATTATGGAATAAATAGGTTATTTCTGGTCGGGATTGAATATGGGTCTTATTCCTCGGAAAATATGATATTGACCTTGGGTTATATGATATTGACACTCAGTCGCTGCGCTCCCTCGGTCAATATCATATTACCCTTCGGTCAATATCATATTACCCTTCGGTCAATATCATATTGTCCCTCGGAATAAAACCCATATTCAATCCCTCCAAGTAAATAACCTATATCTATCTGTCGCCCTCGGTCAATATGATATTTTCCCTGGTCAATATCATATTTTCCCCAGAAATAAAATTTATATTCCATTCCTCCCATTAAATAACCTCTATGTATTCATTCACAATACCTGTAGTTGTTTGTACTGTTCCTGTTGATGTAGAAGTTGTTGCTGATAGACTTGCTGCATGTACTGCTGATAGTGCTGCTCCTGGAGCTGAGTTATCAAACTGTCTTGCTGAAATAGTTAGAGACATTTCTGAATGAATTCTTATTTACAGTAATTTTGTCAAAAGGCATTAACGTGCAAAAATGTCACTCCCTGCCATTTTTTAAGACAGCATTTATAACAGGCGCCGAACTCCGACTGCCAGAAACCAAATATAGTCCACAAAAAGTTGGAGACTATAACAACATGTCACCACTTGAGATGGTGACACAACAAACCATAAAACAAGGGATTTTTCAGTGATTCATCAAGTCTTGTCAATGCAAAGACATATAATAATGCTATAATATGTCTCTGTTCAATGCTAATGTGTTCTCTGAATGATTAGATGTGTTATCATGAATAAAGCATATCATACCTGTTCTGTATTATTAGGAAATTGTTGTTCTGCATACTGTTTAAAATGTATGGCTGTCTGTTGATTCAATGCTGCTCTTATTTGAGACCTAAAACACAAGCATGACATATAAATGAGGACAAGTGTCCTTCAGATCTAGTAAGTAACTATATTAGCCCCCCCCCCCCTTATATGAATAACAATTTGGCACATCAACATTTGTTGCATATTATTCAATTTTCTGGAATAATTTGCTGTATTTCTCTTCTGTTTCCATTATTATAGGACACCTTGTCTCCATTAGTATACGACACCTTGTCTCCATTAATATTGGACACCTTGTCTTCATTAATGATAAGAGTTGAAGCATGCAGATGCATTTTTCTTTTTATAAGCCAATGTGCATATACTGTGAACTGAATAAGTATACTAAAGATAAATTAAATAACTCAACCTGATTTTATATTATGATATTATCAATATTTATGGACAAACACTGACACTTGACATAGAAGGATTAAGTGATTAGACACCAATCATTTCATTTCTGCATGCTTTTCCTAAACAGCAATTTCACGTTATTACGTTGCTTTACATTCAAGATAAAATATATTGTTTCTTGTGAGATTAATTGCTACAATAGTACAGATATACATATATGGCTGTAATTATATTCATGAAATAAATATTTCATTAATTCAGTGATATTTTTCATAAGATAAAATACAATAAAGAGTCCAATCGTTTTTTAAGGTTTTCAAGATGGCAAACATTATTTCACTTCATGCTGAATAATGCGTGAAAGTTCCTTATTTATTGTTGCTTACATGGGCAATGCCTCTATTACCGTAAAACATTCTACATCTCCTCTATTTCAAATAAGAAGGTTGAAGAAGAAGGATAAGAAGGATATTCACAAGGATTTTACCAGTTCCAAAACAGACCAAAACAAACACATATCATCGATGTTATATGCATTTTGCCCCTACTTCTTGAGAATGTATATTTTCATCTAAATTTCAACCTAGATATTAAGGATATTGTTAAGGACATGCCCACAACTAATTTTCTGTAAATTAACTTGAAAGTAGTGATTCAGAGTGAATACATATACAAGAAATGTAAATGTAAGTCTTCTACAAGTATACATAGTATATATACAGGGTGTCCAATAAATAAGGTGAAAGATATTGTAACTTTGTTAATATTGCACTAATCTTGATGAAATTTTCAGAGTTTGTAGCCCAAACCTTTTTACCTTTATTCTGTGAATTTAAAGTGAAACTCTGAAAATTTCATCAAGATTGGTGCAATATCAAGAAAGTTACAATATCTTTCACCTTATTTATTGGACACCCTGTAGGTATAAAATATATATAGGCCAATTCCCAAAGGGTCAAACATCAAATCGAAATGGCGGACAAAGATAATCTCATAGCTTACTCTTGCTGACTCTGTTTGACTTTTTCCTGTTGTTCTCTTGCTTTAGTTTCCTCCTCTAAAACACTTCTCTGTTTCTCCTCTTCCTGCTCCCTACGTATCCGCTCCTCCTCTTCTTTTCTACAAATAAAACAAGAGGATATTATAGCATATGATGGGCTATCAACTCCTCTGTTTATCCTCTTCCTGCTCCCTACGTATCCGCTCCTCCTCTTCTTTTCTACAAATAAAACAAGAGGATATTATAGCATATGATGGGCTATCAACTCCTCTGTTTATCCTCTGCTCCCTAGGTATCTGCTCATCCTCTTCTTTTCTACTACTAAAACAAGAGGATATTATAGTGTATGATGGGATATCATCTCCTCTGTTTCTCCTCTCTCTCCCTACTTATCCACTCTTTTTTCTACAAATAAAACATGAAGATATTAAAGGCTATGATGGACTATCACCTCTTCTCTTGCTCTTCTTGCTCCCTTCATATCAGTGCCTTTTCTTCTTTTCTACAAATAAAACAAGGAGAATTTATTGTGTATGATGGGATATCACCTCCTCTGTTTCTCCTCTTCCTGCTCTCTACTTATCCGCTCCTCCTCTTCTTTTCTACAAATAAAACAAGAGGATATTATAGAGTATGATGGGATGTCACCTCCTCTGTTTCTCCTCTTCCTGCTCTCTACTTATCCGCTCCTCCTCTTCTTTTCTACAAATAAAACAAGAGGATATTATAGAGTATGATGGGATGTCACCTCCTCTGTTTCTCCTCTTCCCACTCCCTACTTATCCACTCCTCTTTTTTCTACAAATAAAACATGAAGATATTAAAGTGTATGATGGGACATCACCTCTTCTCTTTCTCTTCTTGCTCCCTTCATATCAGCCCCTATTCTTCTTTTCTACAAATAAAACAAGGAGAATTTATTGTGTATGATGGGATATCACCTCCTCTGTTTCTTCTCTTCCTGCTCCCTATGTATCCGCTCCTCTTCTTCTTTTCTACGCATAAACCAAGAAGATATTAAAGGGTATGATGGGATATCACCTCTTCTCTTTCTCTTCTTGCTCCCTTCATATCAGCCCCTATTCTTCTTTTCTACAAATAAAACAAGGGGATATTATTGTCATGATGGGATATCACCTCCTCTGTTTCCCCCCATTGCTGCTGACACATCAACTCCTCTATATATGTAAGTAAACTTACAGTTTTGAATGGCATTGCGGAGTGAGGTATAAAACATATAATTATTAGACTCTCCAAGTATGTCACCTTGCCATTGTGGTATTGGCTTACATTTTTAATTTAAAAAATAAATCAACTCTAATTAGGTTCAGGATAACTTCCTGTTATTTAGATAAGGTCACAAAGAATACAAATTGGTAGAATTTCGCTCTTATATTCAATCTCATGTTTGAATGAACCGATATGAGAAGATCTTAATTATTAATCTTGTCTTGGACTCAGAGTCCAATTTTCCATCAACTGCTCACAATGCCTAATGACTAATATTAATCAAGATAAAAGGAAGTCATCTTGATTAACCTTATTCAGCCAGGTAATACACATAATTAATCACCTTTAAAAGTATACAGTTGACAAGGTAATAATTATCCTAATTCCAGATGGGACATTTTATATTTTTTACAATCAAAGAGATTTAGTAATATCATATTTCTACAGAACTTCTAATCTGAATAACACACTTTGTAATTATTATTACTTGAATGGTTGTGACATGCTCTTTTGATCAGCACATGGAATATAAAGATCTTTGTAAGCGATGAAGATGTTTGTTCGTGTGCCCTGATGTTGGATTCTCCAAAATGAGGCAAAAGTGGGAGTTGAACCAATAATGTAAATTACCAGCATAAATTCCAATAAAATGACAGATTTCTTTTGTATGAAAATTATTGATGGTATGAAAATCTTGGAATATACTAATATTCTATTTCATATATTTTAGATTACAGAAGGATGGACAGGAGGATGGATGAGCAGATGATTTCATGAGGTCAACATATGTGATCTAAAAACATAACAACCTTCAACCTGTCCAAGCAATAGCTTTTGATTAAAATCTTCATATCCATCAAGTTACAGTTTGAAATAAAGTGTACATGATGTACATGTAGTTGTATATAATAGTAAGTAATAGTTTTCTAAAAATCAAAAAAGGAGCATATTTACATTTGGACTTAAAGGAACATACTATACCAGAACAGCAAATGAAGCTTTCATATTCTTCGAATTCCTTAGACAAGTCAAGATAATAATTATCATATTTAAATTATAACTTACATCCTATGGGTTAATCCTGCTTTTGTTTCCATATCAATCGAACACAGTAAAACAAATAGAGAAAGATAAATGCAATGAGCATTGTAATATGAACATAGATATAAAATGAAACATAATAGGTCATTTCCGATATGAAACTTTCAAAATCCATCCTGTCAGAAAATTGATATTCTCACTATGTTCTCTTTTTAATATGATATCTTCAAATCATATCTATGATGTTTCACTGTGTTGCATTCCATTCTAAAAACATTCTCATTTCCTGTACGTAAGTTTTTAGCTAGTGTTATCCAAAATTGTTTATTTCAAAAAGATATTTACTCATCAAGTTATTTACTCTCATCAACCACTTATATGACGCCAATTATGATTCTGATTACAGCAATTCTAGCTATGGCTTCATATTTCAACAACATACTTGTTTTTCTGGCAATATTTGTCTCAACCACCTCTGTATATTTATTACAGTCGACTAGGTAAATATAATTACTTCTGATTAGAAAAATGCTAAGCTCCTTAAACAGGTACGCTCAAATTAGGAGGATCCTTATACCCATAATAGGTATTGCGCTAAATTATAACATAGAATCTTAGTAACATAAAGACAGCACAAAATACTTCCAAGAAAGCTACTGAAATAAGCAAATTAAAGACATGCGTTTAATAAAATTTTCAACCCACATCCTCACCAGGAAAAAATTCGGCAACCAGTTTCATTAACTATTATCATTAAATATAAAATATAAACAATGTTTGACCAATTGTATTTGATTTACTGCCAAGACTGACAGTCAGACGGAGTCATTCTTTATATTCCCAAACTCTATTTGATTGCATGATTACTTTATCTTCATTCTGAGGCCCTCTTTATCTTATGCTTGAGAGGGACTCAAAGAGATTTCAGGTTGTAGATCCCAAATGCAATATTCTATGTTTCCAAATTCTTGGATACTTGTGTAAATTGCATATAACATGTTGTGCAGTTATTCTGAATCCTTCAGAAGTTCATAGCTGGCGGTTTACTTTATCAAGCCTAGAGACATTCACAAAACCTTAATTTAGTCAACTGGTGTACCTGAAGAATTTATTGATCCAGGTAACAACATAATGTCAATCATCTCATATCTTAGGTTCAGTTTCCCTAAGTCATCAATTTTCATCTTATAGAACAAGCTCATGAAAATATCGAACATTTTTCTTGGGTACGATAAAAACATTTTTACAGTAACTCTTGTCTGGACACAAAATCCTCTCATAATGCAGTTATTAGACAGATAAGTAAATCTATACCTGTAATAAGTCAATAAGGCAACTTAGGCAAAACAGGAATATGTGTAAGCAGTCTACATCTAATCACTCCACATTTGTGTATAAACTAGACTTCACTGAGGCCTATTTACCAGGCATTTAAGGTCAATAAAGGGTCAAATCTGAAATATATCAACTAGACTTCACCCAGGCCCATTTACCAGGCACTTAAGGTCAATAAAGGGTCAAATCTGAAATATATCATGGAGTTCTGAAAAATATGGTAGATGATTATGAAAATGAGACCGAAACAATCCAAACTTTCAAAAGGTAAGAAATGAGCTCCTGGCATATTGGTCAATATGAAGCAAGTTTAATAAAAATGACAATATTTGACCCTTTTGAACTCAGATATATTGCAAAAAGATAAGACTTTTATCAAGATATAGAAGGGAGTTATAATATTGAAGTACAAGGCTAAACTGAAGGCTAATACCAAACAAAGTACATGAAGTAAAATGGATATCTATGTGATATGGAATTTAGTAACATGATTTCTGACATCATATCATGAAATCTACTCATGGATATAAATGACATCACTTTAATCAAACGACATCCCTTGCTTATCAATGGTATCAATTCTTTAATAAGAGACATAAATTTCTGTTCTAATTTCACAATTCCTGTTCTAATTTCAAGAAGATCAAACTGCTGTTTAATCCTGGAATTAATCGGATAAACCATAAATCCGGCTTTACGTTAGCCTAACGTATCAGGAATCTAACATGATTAGGGTCAATCAATAAACAATTTACATGAAATGAATTATATAAATGTGTGAGATAACTCAAAGATAACACTATTCACAGAGAAACATCCATTCTCCTTTACTGCACATCAAGTGGACTACTTCTGCTCTTCTCACAACAGCTTATAAATGAAATCTTAAGAACTTGGAAAAATAGTCTACTGAGAAATTGCCTCATGGTATAAAATCTCAGGATGAAAGTCGATCTTACTCGCGTGAAATCACGAGTGAAATTCCAACAGACTTAAATGATTATTACCATTGATTTACAAGATTACACCATTTTAAGAATGGCTGATCCAAATCAATGGAATACAGAGAAAATTACCAAAAAGGATAAAGAACAAATGCTGATAAATGTATGAGAAATATTAGATAAATGATAAAGAGGCATGATCAAGGGAAATGTATGACGTCAGTTGAGTACATCCTTCAAGATCGGGCCTCGCTGAGAAAGAAAATAAATACCCTTGGACCAAGGATGACTTGAGTAATCCCCCAATCAAATTGAGCTTTCTAAAAACAATGAGTTATGTTCACTTCTTGACCAAAACTGGCCTCTGGGATTTACTGAAAATGATTACTTCATGGACTCTCCATATTACTGAGGCAAATTCAGTGCCAATCTGTAGTATGTCGACTTTACAGACTTTAAAATGGTTGACGAGAAAAACAGCAAGTTCCCTGAGAAGCAATTTCCCACCATAAAAGAAAATAATTTCAACAGATCACTCATTATTTGAGCATTTCATAAGAGAAATAACCAGGCAGTATTATTGTCTCCTTTTTGGCAAAATCGAATATGACTTGACATATTAGAAATTCCTTCTTGAATAGAGGTCCTATTTCCACAAGCCATTAGCCTATAAAACTTAGATAATATACAATTACTGAAAATAAGCAATTGGTGAGGTTGCTTGTTAAATGCTGTATATTATTCAACTTCAGCCGATTTTAGTTAAAGTATTATTGATTGCAATAGCTGCAATTTCTAGTCCCATGTATCAAATGAAATATTTGCTTTTTGAGTTCAGAAGGGAGAGGGACAATCCCTCTGTCCATTTGTCATTCTGTACTGGTTAAAAGATATGATTGTAATATAATAGGCTGAAGCATTATTGACACAGAACCTCTGCTCGAGAAGGAATCTCATATATGTCCGCTCTATTCAAAATGGTTGCCATTTTTGTAAACAAATGTGATCTTTGAAAACTCAGATACCACTGAGTTCTACCAAATTTTATATACTGTATTGATTCAAAATGGCTGCATTTTTTCGTGATAAATAATAATTTCTGATTACTTAAATAAAATTAGTACCATGGGTACTGGGCTCACATGGTAACAGAAAAAAACGGATATAATTTTTTGCTGATTTTTTGTTACAAAATTATTTCAAGCCATCTGTCTCTCAGTCAATTAAAATGGCTGAAAAAAAAAACGGATATAATTTTTTGCCAATAATTTGTAACAAAATTATTTCATACAACTACTGTACTCTTTACAGTGACATGGCTTTTTGCAATGCAAGACACCTGAAATTATTTGTAAAGCTAGGAAATGGGCCAAAATTGAATTTCGCGAGACAAAAATGGCGACCATTTTGAAATCAGGCAAGCTTTTGAACCAGGAGTCATAGGGGAGTTTTTTGTATTGATGTTGAACAAAAATAACTTGAAACTGGAATCCTATCGACAGAGGTTTTAAGCAAATGGTCCAAAAGAGGATTTCGCGAGACAGATGGACAAATCAATGTTAACTAAAATGGCTGAAAATAAAAAAAACGGATATAATATTTTGTCGATTTTTTGTAACAAAATTATTTCATACAACTACCTTTTACAGTGACATGACTTTTTACAATGCAGGACAGCTGAAATTATTTGTAAAGCTAGGAACTTGGCAAAAAGTGAATTTCACGAAACAAGAATGGCAACCATTTTGAAAATAGGTGAGCTTTTGAACCAAGAGTCATAGGAGAGTTTTTTGTATTGATGTTGAACAAAAATAACTTAAAATGGGAATCCTATCGACAGAGGGTTTAAGGTAAATGGTCCAAAAGTGAATTTTGCGAGACAGATGGACAAATCAATGTTAACTAAAATGGCTGAAAATAAATAAATGGATATAATTTTTCGCTGATTTTTCGTAACAAAATTATTTCATACATCTACTCTTTACATTGACATGGATTTTTACAATGTAGGACACTTGAAATTATTTGTAAAGCTAGGAAATGGGTCAAAAATGAATTTCGCGAGACAAAAATGGTGGCCATTTTGAAAATAGGCGAGCTTTTGAACCAGGAGTCATAGGGGAGTTTTCTGAATTCATGTTGAACAGAAATAACCTAAAACAGGAATCCTATCGACAGAGGTTTTAAAACGTGCCACTGTTATTGACAGAAAGTGGATTTCGCGAGTCAGATAGACAAATCAATGTTAACAAATAAAAAAATGGATACAATTTTTCGCTGATTTTTTGTAACAAAATTATTTCATATATCTAATCTTTACATTGACATGGATTTTTACAATGTAGGACACCTGAAATTATTTGTAAAGCTAGGAAATGGGCCAAAAGTGAATTTCGCGAGACAAAAGTGACCGCCATTTTGAAAATAGGCAAGCTTTTGAACCAGGAGTCATAGGGGGGTTTTCTGTATTGATGTTGAACAGAAATAACTTAAAACAGGCATCCTATCGACAGAGGTTAGCTAGGAAATGGGCTAAAAGTGAATTTCGCGAGACAAAAGTGACGGCCATTTTGAAAATAGGCGAGCTTTTGAACCAGGAGTCATAGGGGGGGTTTTCTATATTGATGTTGAACAGAAATAACTTAAAACAGGAATCCTATCGACAGAGGTTTTAAAGTGTGCCACTATTGTTGACGGACAGACGGACGGATGGACAGACGGACGGACGGACAGACGGACAAGTGAGTGATTGCAAAAGCTCACCATGTGAGCTAATAATAACCAGTTAATAAAACATTTTATTTTCGTTATTTCATGCCACTGGCATTAAGTACAGTCTTGTTGCACACATTGGTTTCATATTGTTTGAAATATTGAGCAATTGTGCTTTTTTGTCAGTTTTCTGATTATGGTCTTTCAATTCAAGTTTGCATACTTTACATTGTCTCTGAGACACATTTATAAATAACTTGTCTTATTGCATATTTTACTGTAAAAATAGTTGATGCCCTTCCTTGCAGTTAGCACTAGAATGGCACTAGGTTCCTATGCACATTCATAAAGTACTTGTCTTATTGCATATTTTACTGTAATAATCCTTCGTGCCCTGCCTTGCAGTTAGCACTAGAATGGCACTAGGTTTCTTTGCACATTCATAAAGTACTTGTCTTATTGCATATTTTACTGTAATAATCCTTCGTGCCCTGCCTTGCAGTTAGCACTAGAATGGCACTAGGTTTCTTTGCACATTTATAAAGTACTTGTCTTATTGCATATTTTACTGTAATAATCCTTTGTGCCCTGCCTTGCAGTTAGCACTAACATGTCACTAGGTTTAAAAGGGTCAGAATTACACTGTCTCCTGCTAGCAGCCAAGAACTCTGTATGAGGAACAATTCTCATTGGTGCAGTGTAGATGATAATACTCAACACTGATTGGTCGTATCTATGGTTTCTTAGTGATGATCCAGGTGGTCCGAAACATTCTTGTCTTTGAGCACATAATACGTAAGGATATAAGATGTGCTGTACAGCATCACTGCCTCGTAACCAGCCATGCAGACCACCAGCAAAATGAGGCTTATTTTTAAAATCTCCTTTCTTTTCATTAAAGTATTTATACATCCCTTCATGTGATTTTTCTGTCATATCTAAGTCCTGACCCTGGACGAAGAAATAACCATCCTTATATAACAATTCTTTAATTTTTGATAATGGTCCTCGTATATTTGAGCCAGCGTCACTGAACAATATACTATGGTATCGTTCAAAGCTATCAAAAACTACATAAGGTTTCCATGCATACATTTTTCGAGGCTGGTGAAGAATATGTTCAGGCATTTGTTTCGGGAGATCATGTACGACAACATTACACCAGGTTTTTATCTCAGCTAGTTGAATCTTGGTCAGTCCAAGATCATAAATTGCAACTTTAATTGTTGGCTCCCAATAATGCATTGATCCTACAAGTTCTTTGAGGCCAGGAAAATAATTATGATTAGCTGCTGTTACAAGCACAAAATCTTTTGGGAGATCACTTTTTTTAGCAGCACCATCAATCGTATCATTCACACTGGTGTTCGGGTTATGTTGAAGCCATTGTAAATCAGGAATGTGAAAGTGGACTATCAGAACAAATGTAGCTGCGATCCATCCTAATGTGAAAACTACCTTTTTGTAGTGAATCTTGAAAGTAGTCATCATCCAGCAGGTTGTGCAATAGATTTCATTCAAAATTTTAAATAGAAGTTGAATTTAGATATAATTTAATTTTAATAATCTTTGTGATATTTGTACACATTAAAACAATCAACCTGAATTGTGAAGTATATTCAGTCAGTCCTCTGCTTTCAACTACACTGAGTCCATTATCTGACTTCCTCTTTAATTTCCTCAATAACAATGATTTGATGTTCTATATTTCTATTTTCATATTAATATGCTCCTTCATCCAACAGAGTATAAGTATACTATTTAGAACTTAACCCCAGTTTATTGTTAAAGCTTCAGTTTCCAATATCTAATCGAAAATGTTACACAATTGCCAGAAATACATAGGTTCAATTTTTAATTTAGCAATCATTCAGCGTCTGATAGAATCTACCTTCAGGGATTTAATTCAGTAATTCAATTAAAACAATAGAGCAATATTTAAATGATGGTCATAGTCGTAGTTTAATTTGGTTAAACAATATATGACAATTGTGCTCATGTCAACCAATTTGCTGCAGATATCAAATAAGGCTTTAGGGTCATTTAATTAATTAAAAAATATGTTAATGAAATGATTATTAATTTTAGATTGATGATTGATTTAATTTTTATCTAAAATCAACCTCCCCTGTCAATAAAAGGTGCATGGTCTTTTATCAATCTTAAAGCTGGACTACGCTCCGAAACGCAATCTTGGGTTGTTTCGGGGGTGAACTTTATCATTTTGAGCTTAATGAAAGATTATAGAATGATGAACAAATGGGGCAAATCTTGTGTAGAAATACTTACGATAAATGTGTCATTTCAAAGATTTTTCATTGAATTTGCTTCGATCGGTGCCGGCGATATGATTTTGGAAAGGTTTCTAAATGAAGAACGTGACGTCACTTCCGAATCATAGCATTCAAAATAAGTAGCGTTTAATTACTTCCTCCTTTCATAAAAATACGGTGGTGTAGCGGGTAGAATCCTCGCTGAGCAGGCGGGAGGCCCGGGTTCGAATCCCGCATTAGCCTTTTTATTTTTTTAACTAAATGATTGTTCTTTGATATTACACAGAAAAAAACAATTTTTATTTACATAAACTTTATATTAGAGCTTGAAAATGTAAAAACAATATATGTCAACATATTGCGTTTTGGAGCGATGTGCAGGTTTAAATATTCAATATGTGAAATGGAAAACACTAATTTGACTTTCCCCTTTAAATTTTGTCATGAATTACAATTTGCAAATTTTATATTTTAAGTTTATTATGATAAGTGTTTCTACTATCACTAATTTGGAACTGAGGTGAGACCTCTGAATATAAAAGATATTAGCCAAATTCTATCACATAATGCTTATTTTCCTTTTACTAACTGATATTTTCACATAATGGTTATTTTCATTTTACTAACTGATATTTTCACAATATTTTACTGATTTAATATTATATAAAATAAACTCTAAACTTGATTGACTATTTAATTTTGTATTTCACAAGATACCTTAATGTATATTGGCCTACTTATATTTATGAAATCATTTCATTTGACTCCAAAATATTAACAGATACGTGTACAGTGTATTACTCGTCATACAGACAACATTTAGATGACATGCTCTAAATGAACTCCATCATTATTGATGCAGAATTGAATGCAATTCCAAAGGCGTAGCCAGGAGGGGGTGCGAGGGTGCGATCTGCACCCCCCCCCCCCATAACCAATAAAATGGAACTATTAGATAGAAGAAAAGAGCTTTAAAATGCTTTTATTTGAAGCTTTTAGCTCATTTTTGAAGGAAGTTGTATCAATTTTTGTAAAATTCAAAACAAATCTTCAATTTTTTGGGATTTCTCATGCTACGATTGTACCTCCCTGACTGTAAAACGGATTTTTTGAGGAATTTTTTCATGTTTCATCTCATGTTGGTCTTAGTTCATTGAAATATGGGTGATATATGGTAGTAAAACAAACTAAAACTGAATCAAGTTACCTGTTGAAACTTCCCAATGTTTATGAGATGTTTCAAGTGTTACTTTTGGCCATTTGTGTTTCTTTTAAAAAAGTATCAACATTTTTGGACACCCTGTATCTATATAATTAGTGTTTGTAAAGGTAACACTTTGGAGTAAGATGTGATTTTATTGTGTGGAGTGTAACTATTACTATGGTAACATGGGCCAAGGACAACACCTTATGTTGGCTGCATCTGTTCCATGCAGCAGCCAGTGTTCACATGTAAGTAGTAGAAGTGACATCTATAATATAGACGTTTATTCGTATAAGATCAAATACTGTAGTTCCATCTTTCCTTGTTGTGTAATCTATTATACTAATTCTACTTTAAATGAGACAGCATATTGCATGATTGATTCAGTCATAATTGTTACTTTTCATTTTAGAAATTATTGTACTAAAACAATGTGAAGATAATGTGTTTTGTGTCCTTTATACAAAACCTCTACTCTTTGTTCAACTTAATTTTATCAGACATGGATATCAGATTGAGGTATATTGTATGATTCAAACCCTAAAAAATATTACTGTAATCAAGTTTCCATGCTGGAAAGTAAGACAAAGAGGCTGTCTAACATTCTTCCATTTAGTAGTTCTACTTTTCTGGATCTAGCTCAGCAACTTCAGTTATCATTCAGATGTAACCTTCAAAGTGCTATGCAACTAAAGTAGACCGAAATGATTCTAAATTATTAGAAAACAATCTGCTTAGCTGAGATCCTGGATAAAACCATAACGATTAGAATAAGATTTACCCTGAACATTAAAATAAATATTGAATGTTGAAACTTAGTACTTAGTAATCATTTTATGTTTCTGTTAAGGGAAATTAAAAAAATATGTACACTTTTAGCTGATCTCAACAGTGGTCACATTAGACAGAGTTTACTATTTTGTGATGGTCTACAGTTGCTAGCCAAATGAGATGTCTGGGGATCATAAAATGTTTCTAACTTCCCGGAAGAAGTCCTATTTCAGGCTGATAAATGGCTTATTCAATTAAAGACAAGAAAACTTCATTAATGTCAGCTAGGTTTAAAATAAAATGACAAGTCTGAACAGAAGCAAATCCCACATTTATCAAGAATGACAGGAAAATAAATTTGATTTATACAATAATCCAATGGTGAATATATTGATATATTTTTGCTCTATTTGTCATTCCATTTAATTTAATGTACTATTAGCTATCCCTGCATATTTCTCATCATGGCTTTTCTTTGTGGGCTCAAAGAACAAGTAAAGGATTACACCATATAAAAAACATGTGTGACGTTATCAGTATATAACTCATATGTAGAAGTGATTATAAGTATGTAAGTGGGGGGAGTGGCGTTTTATACAAGGGTCGATCCATATATTCTGATAAAAATGTTTCAATATATCACCAAATAGACACAGTAAAGGGATGTAACTGTAATATGCATCCCTATTGGCATTCATTAAGCTACAACAACACGGACTGATAGATATTTATGAATGTGTTAATAATGATCTACGACTGGAGAGACATCCTTATGATTCTGACATGATGTTTTTATCAATTCTTGAATATTAACGTTTTTTTTGCTCTACTAGACTTACGGTCTGCTTTATTGCATTTGATTTTGGAATCTGACCTTCTTTATTACTCAGTGAAAATTATCAAAAAAGGAAAATTATCTAAAAGTGAAAAAGAAAAATCCTCTAACCCCTAAAAGGAAGGTTTAACCAGGGAGGTTTTTGGATGACCAGGCAGGTACATGTATGATTAAACAGACATTTAATCAATAATGGCCCTACTGCCTTCACTGCTTGTACTGAAGCCTCAGTTGCATTTGCTCTATGGTGGTCATACGGCGGCCGTATCTTCACAAAATCGATATAAAAAAAATCTACATCGTACTGCTTATCATATTCTATGCTGCATATTATCTCAATTTTAGGAAGCTACCACAGGTGTGTATGGTTGCCATAGATCAAATGTGACTGAGGCATTCGTTTAAGATGCTATGAAGATGGTGTCTGCCCTTAGTCATCAAGCATGCTATAAAGAAAAACTTATCAATGATAAACATTGACATATTCTGAGAGATAAGAATTTCAAACAATTCATCAGGCTTTCTGAATGAACTAAAAATAACTGAAACAATTTCTAGATAATAATACAGCATTTTACCACCCACCCACTTAAAGAAATTGATTATGTGTAAAATTGAATGTTTAGCATATCAGACCATGAGATGATTTAAAATGAGACAAAATGGAGCATTTCCCTAGGATTTTCTCAAGTAGGCACAATATTTTCATTTTTACAAGTCTTCCCAAAATTGTTCAATTCTTCCCAAAATTGTTCAAAATCTTTCATAATTTTGAGTGTGTAAAATATTTTCAAAAGCTCAAATAAGTATTAAGCATCCACTTCAAAACGAGGAAGATTCACCAAATATACTTACCGTATCCTCTCTAATTCTTCTTGTTCGGTTTTATGAGCTTGGATATAAGGTTTAAATAGTGGACACACGGAGTTGAGGACTTTTACAAACTCAGTCATTGCACTCTCTCTGGACATATCACCCAGCTCTTGCCAAGCTTGCCTGAAATTAGAAAAGAATCACCATTAATATAATAGCATCCTAAAATCACAGGGCTTTAAAATCCAGAATATATTCTTTCTTTTTACCCCCTGCAATAAGTAGTTAGTATTTCCCTTATTAAGAACTCGCAACACTGCAACAGAAATCATGTATAAGTCATTGCGCATAATTAGATCATGTGATTCAGTTAAATCGGGCGCTTCCAAATTGGTTATAGCAAGGGGGAAGAAGGAGGTACGGATTCTGGACACCTGCTTAGGAGGATGTATAATAGGTTATCTACACGTTAAGCGACCCTTAGGTTTTCAACTCAAATATCATACAGGTGTGTACATTCGAGCTGACATTTGCTGGTATCAACTATCAGCTGTCGTGTGACAATTTGATTGCTATCTAAGGCCAACTCATTTAAATGTGAATACTTATTGAGTTGGTAGTGTTCATATTCAAATGAGGCAAGCGTAAAATAACATCAGGGAATCATCAGGTGCCATTCGACAGTTGAATCCGCAGTTGCAACCCAAGAATTAAGTTCTTGCCATCCAACTATGCTTAATTTTGTCTAATGATATCAGAACCTCAAAATATGAAATATGTGTAAACTTCTGTTGTGACAACGTTACTGTATACCCCTTATACACTGTTAGTGTTTAAAGGTAAATATATTTCCTGCAAAATCCCTTATATTCATTTATTCATGTATTATCTTAAAGAGATCTGGATTAGTCATTTTATATTCTATTCCCTCATAAATGTCTTATAAATTCTTGTAGAACAAATGTGTATATCAGACAATGAAATATGATAAAAACAAAATTAATATTAGATCAGATAGGCAAGGGATAATGGCAGACATAAATTTCAACAAAATATGATTTTAACAAATATCAAGTGTACAGAGTTTATTTCTAAAGTAACCTTTAAAAGGACAATTTTACAATTTAGCAGCTCTATTCCCAAAGAGGTTTAGCTCCCAGGGACGCAACTCAATATTTTCCAACAATGAAAATGTCAGGCTGCCATTATTTTCTGACATTATAACTGACTATAACTTCAAAAACATCAGTCCAAATAATTCGAACAAATATCTTGATCACTAAGTCTTGCGTTTTTGATTTATTTGTTTAGAAATAAGACCTAAACTTGCAATTCAAATTTTGAAATGAATAAAATGGTGGCTGTTTGAATTCAAATTTTGAAATCAAGACATATATCTCCATATATGGCAGAATATTGAGATGGAAGCCTGGAATCCAATCCTCCTTGCCGATGCCCCATCCCTACAAATTGTGCTGACATATATGTGCTTTATAAGAGGTTTCTCATCAACTTATGTGTACAAGGCTATATTATATAGCCAAACAAATGAATCCAAAGGGGTACAATATGCAATGAAGGAAACTAAAAAGGAACATACATATGCAGTTATATTAATAGTTGGATAACTTCACTACATTAAAATCAATTGCATGTTTCTTACTACCAGTGACAGGCACATATAACAATATAACAATATGTACAGTGAAAGCTGTAAAGTGGAACACCTCTGTTAGTGGAACACTTTTCAGAGTCCCAAGACCCAACTGTGAACGCTCTAAAAAGGAACACCTCTGTTAGTAGAACACTTTTCAGAGTCCCAGACCCAAGACTTAATGATGAATCTATAAATCGAACATGACTGGTAATAAGTGTAATGTGTGACGTCATAACGGCGGGCCGTAGTAATGGCGGACCATAATGAATATTCGAAACATTTTGGTGAGTTTTCATGTTTGGTCGTTCAGGGTACAGAAAACATTTGTGCCTAGCCCTGCGGGGTGTATTCGACAATATTACCCCTGCTCTTCGGTCTATATTTCTATAAGTAGAACACCTCCCAAGTAGAACACTGTGGTACCAAATATGTTCCACTCAGACATGCTTTTTTATATGAAAATACAACAAAATCCATAATATAATTTCATCATACAACTGTATTTTTATTCATATATGTCTCTAAAGAACCTCATAAGTCTTCATAAATCTGATTCCAATATTGATCTACACTTGTCATATTGCATGTATCAAATTTGACTAACTCATCTTTTTAGATTTTATTCACCCTGTTTTTTCAAACATTAGATTCAGTCAGATGTCAACATAATTACATTAGATGAGGTAATTATTAGCATAGCAACCTGGCTGTTTACATCATAATATCTTTGCATAGCCTCACTTAAATCATAATTTATACCCTCATTTCAACAACCATAAAATATTCCAGGTAGGATCTGGATATCATAAAAAATAATTCCCACCACTAAAAATTCTTGCTATTATCAATCAAAAACTATTTTGAACTGCAATATTTGTCGCAAAATAACTAGAGCACCAAATTGCATCATCAAAATATAAAATGACCCAAAAATTGTGATTTGGAAAACTATGTCACTTGTAAGATACAAAATCACTAAAAGAACATATTTTCAATGAAACTCTTTGCAAGGGTCAAGTTGGCAAAGCATCAATTTCACCTTGACAACCATTCAAGCAATGACCTTGGATGCAGTGATTGATTATATATTACACTGCAGTTATATGAAAAACTGTGTTTGGATTGGCTGGAATCGGACACCCCTTGCCTGTGTGAAAGCAACTTAAATCGTATAATGGCACTCATTATTTCCTTTGCTCAGCCATCATATACATGTGTGGATAAAAATCAAATCATTCATAAATCAAAGGATATCCTCTCTAAGTACGAGTTTTATGAAATAAATACAAACTGAACCTGAAAGATCGCTTCATCTGGATAACCATGGCAACTCCTTCATCTGGATTACCATGGCAACTCTTTCATTTGGATTTACAAATTGTGTATCTGTTATAAGAAAGAATTGCGATGAATATCAGAATGCATCCTATTTTAATCTGGAAATTGAAGGTTGGGATTAAGCTGGTTAAAGCTAAACTGCATTAGCAGTCAAACATTCTATGAATATGCCAATCTTGGTAATATTTTCTATAATGTTAATTTATCAATTAAAACATTCAGTAGCTTACTATATAGCCATCAGTGTGGGCTTTCTTTAAAAAGTTAATATAACATAGACATGCAATTTGACTGTTCCAGATTGAGTTAGGAATCAGCTTGTAAAAAATCACGAACTTTCATAATAAATATACATAGAGCAGAGATGAGGTGCTAATAAGAATCACCATAGGAATACAAATAGTATTGGTTTACCCTTTGCAAAAGCTTGGCTTTATCTACCTTACTAGTCTTCCCTTTGTCTACCTTTGTGAATCTTTGATCCAGCCGTATTCTGATTTCTCAGAGTCTTTCTTTTATCTTAGGTTTGTGTTCATTCCAAGGCAAAACTGAAGATCCCACAATGAATATTTATATTGAATAAAGGACCATAGAAGGCATATCTGAGACATGTCAGTGATCTCCTTAGCGTTAAAGCAAGTTGGAGCAGCACCCACCTGAGATTTTGATAATAAACTTGCACCCACATGAGAATCCATTTACACCCCCTTGAAAATGAGAAAAATTATGAAAATGGGCATATTTTGACCAATTTTGCTGCTCTGAATAGTGAAAATGAGAATTTTACACAAACTTAAGAAAAAATCCTATGGCGATCACTGCATTTAAGATCTTACAAGAATCAACATTTTTAAACAACCTGTGGACCAGCGTGTTATAGCCAGAGGGTAACGCTATAAGGGTAAAGCAAGAAAATGAAGAAGTCAGTATTGGAAAAAACAGAAACATAAATCTCCTTGAATCAAGTAATTCAACTGAGTATTGAATCTATACGTGACATTTTCATCATCATTTAAAAGCCTCAGACATCATCCCTGTACACCAATTATATTTTTGCAAGACATTAGCTCCAAGTGTAATTTATAATAGCAAAATACTCTCGTTGACTTCTATTCATCCTTCTGTATTCTGCATTGATTTCTTTCTTGTCATTCTCTTCAAATCAAAGACATTTAAATCTACAAGATGTAAAGATAACAAATTGGTCTGAAGATGGGATAATGCTCAAATAGACCGATTCAATATAAATACAAGTCTCGATTTGGGGAAAGAAGTTCATCAGTGTACTGCGCTAATATTTTTTTGCGAAAAATCTAGAAATATCACCCAAATTAAATTATGACTATTCAAAAGAAGACATTCAAATCTTTATTATGTAAAAAAATCAAATTTGTCCGAAGCAGGGATAATGCTAATTTAGATTGATGAACTTTGTTCTCCAAACCGAGAATCATCCATAGTATTCTTGCAAAAATAATGTTCTTGACATTCTCTATAATTTGAAATGCTGACTTTATTTCAAGTTATTTCAATCATTCATAATGATAAATAATAAATAACAAAAATATAATATTTCGACTTTACTTCCTATCTAAACGAAAAAGTGATTTTATCCCTGAGTAAAAAGTTCAAAAGAGGTTACTGATAGTTATGCTCACTCTCTCAGAGACTCATTTGCAAGAGTTGGAAAATAACAGCTCTGTCCCAAGAGATTAAATTCATAGGGAACACAATCTTTTTTTATAATGACAAGAAATATTTCATTATTTTAATGATTATGGTTAACTCGAACATGTCACAATGACATTGCTCAAGGCATTCACTTATAGACACCCAGCACCCATCATCTAACGTCATCTACATGTAATAGGTTTTTATAGATATATAATTGATTTTTGTAATCCTCCTACCATCAAGATAAACTATGACATCTTGTTTCTCCTCAGCAACATGAACATTATCATTTTTTGATGGGGTTTGTCAAACTTTGAGCAAAATTTATTAAGCGCACAGAGAAAAACATATGAATGCTCCAAGACTTCAATTTCAAAATAAAGTATTTGATTACTATGTATATTATTAATATTTATTTACTGTCAAAAATATATGACTTGGACAACAAAAGGGACTGGGTGTTTCTCTAAAATGAAGCAATATGGGTTCAATGGTGTAAAATGCAAGTATGGAG